CAAGTATATTCCCGTTCCGCGCCACGGCGCTCGTGCATTTTCATGTGGCGGTTCAAATCATTCTTGAAATAATATAAGTAGATATTATTAGCTTAAAATACTTTACTATGTTCCGAAATATATCCCTGTAAATTACGTACCTTTCGATTAAACGTTTTATGGCAACGCGAACACTTATGGTCTTTGTCACTGTGAGTTTTCATATGTCAGTTCAAGTCATCCTTGAATTAATATAAATAGATATTATTAACTCGAAATACCTTACTACGATTTGAAATATATCCCTGTAAATTACGTACCTTTCGATTAAACTTTTTGTGGCAACGCGAACACTCGTGGTCTTTGTGACTGTGAGTTTTCATATGTCGGTTCAAAGCATCCTTGAAATCATATAAATACTATTAACTCAAAATACTTTACTATGTTCCGAAATATATCGCTGTAAATTACGTACCTTTCGATTAAACGTTTTATGGCAACGCGAACACTCGTGGTTTTTGTCACTGTGAGTTTTCATATGCCGGTTGAGGTTGTCCGAACGCATAAATACGCGACCACAATCATTACAACATAACCCAGACTTCTCCGATTCTTCTTGCCAGTCATCCCATTCAGACAGAATTTGCTCTTGCGTCTCTGGCGACCAGGACTCGAACATTTCATCTGTAGCAACGGCGCAAAGCTGGCGATTGAGTTCGTCATTCTCGAGATCGGAAATGAATTGATTTCTCCTGAAAATATAGAAATAAATTACATAAACAAAACTCTCGATATTATATTAATTTTCAGTTTAAATCAAACTTACAAAATATTCTCTCGATGCTGTTGTGCCATTTTCTTCCAAGTAATTTTCCTCACGACAAATTTCACCAAACTTCAACTAAGCGTTGTCAAATGCAGAACTATGTCTATTACAAAACGCTTGACGATTTTATACAGACGCTCGTTAAATCAAACAACCAATCACAGTAAGCCAACATTAATCCCTCCATTGTATCATAAACGTGGGGGACGCTAAAAAATGCGTGGTCAGCAAGTTTCAACCGATCGTGTTTAAACCTGCCCGCGTGACGTCATTGCATATAATTACGACGTATGTTAATGAGTGACGTCATTCCGCACCCTCATTCCTCCTCACTCCTCCGCCACACTCCACCGCCGCACTCCACCGCCGCAAAAATAAGGGTCGAAAACCACATACACTACTACTTGCCCACCCTCCAGACAAGGTCTTAAAAATTTCGCTGTATGTATGAAGACGGGCCATGGGTTAGGGTTATGGTAGGACAAATGTTGCATTGCAAAGTAGTAACACATAATATATATCTTTTAATCATATATGGTTGAATCATATTCACCAGGGTAAAACATATTCACCAGGGTAAAACCTATTATCTAACTTTACCTGCAACGCACAACTGTTTCATTGTGTAAATTTTTCAATCCACACTGGGGGGAGGGGTCGGAAAAGTTTCTACTTTTATGAGGGGGAGGCACAAAAAGTTTGCCTTCAGTCTGGACGGGGGTCCAAAAAAGTTTCCAATCCTTATTTTCCCCATTTACCAAGCAAGATAGATAATGACCACTTTCTAAAACCTAATAGTATACGAGCTAATAATATGCATGAACCGAAAATTACTTGATTCTGATTGCCCAACAGAAGTGCTATTTTACCAAATACAGTGCCAAAAAAAGTATTTCAGTGCCAAATCTTTTTTTTAAATTTGCCAAAAATCATTTTTGGCTCTAAACAAACAAAACGACACGCGTCCATATAAATTTATCTCACTTGTCAATGATAACACTCACCTTGTTCTTGAGTTTCTAGCTGAGGCATCAACCATGCAAAACTTTGTAGCTCCTCCCCGTTTAAACCACTTGTTCTTAAACGCTTTAAAATCCACTGCACTAAGAGCATACCAGAGCGTCGAGTTAAATCTTTTGTCGTAATCACAATGCCATTGCCATCGCCTCCAAGTTCTTCGCCAATGGGATGTGTATCGACCACGAAGTATGAATTGTTGTGCACACCTGCCAAAAACGTGTAGGGGCTAGATAGATAGATAGATAGATGGTTTATTTGCAAAGCATTGCAGCCAAAAGCTGAATTACGCTAAGAATTACATAGTTTAAAATTAGAATAACTATTAAAAATTTTAAAAGTTTGGAGCCAAATGGCAATGTGCGTATAAATTACTAGGTGCGCATTTTCAGTGCATTGTGAGTTATAAAACTATTCCTAAATCGGTCTGTTTTAAAAAGCTGATTTTTAAAAAGTCGTTTCTTCCTAAGCTTAATTTGGCATTCGTTTACAGGTGGTAAAAGTTTGTTCAATTTGTGACTTGGGTCGCTAATAATTTGCTGGAATAGGTTGTCTGTTAGTTGCTGTCTTCGTGCTTCTAGAGGGACCAACTCAGCAACGGAGAGAGATTCGTCATATGATAAGGCTGGAAATATTATCCGCATCGCGCGTTTCTGTATTCTTTCGATGTCTTTAACAAGGTAATTTGGCAGGCTATCGTGAAATACTGGGCAGCCATACTCTGTAACAGGTCTTATACAAGTACAGTAAAAGATAATAAGTTCCTTACTGCCCACGTTCGAACGTTTTAGTTGGCTCAGAAAATACAAACGCTTATTCGCTTTCTTCATAATAACAGATATATGGCTATTCCACTTAAGATCGTTAGATATCTGCATGCCAAGGAGTTTTACACTTTAAACGACCTCCAGTTGCTTATTGTTGATGGTAATAGGATCGAAATCGGGAGGAGATTTACTGAAGCTAATACGTAACTCTTTACACTTGGACTCGTTTAACGTAAGTTTATCAATAGAAATATGTCGTGTAAGTTCATCAACTTTCTCCTGTATGTTGGATTCGTTGTTTCTTTCAACAATTTCAGACATCGTTGTGTCATCGACGTATTTCCAGAGTTCCGAATCTTGGATTTTCAAATCATTTATCATGATAACGAATAACCACGGCCCGAGTTTGGTACCCTGGGGAACCCCAGATGGAATAGTTCCCCATTCAGAATAGCAGTCGTTACCAAGTTTGACACGTTGTTTGCGACAAGTAAGAAAGTCAATAACCCACAAAACAATGCTTTCAGGAATATCATACGATTTTAGTTTGTCTACAAGTATATGGTGATCGATCAAGTCGAAAGCTTTCTTAAAGTCAACTAATACTGTCCTGACAGTTGCGCCACTACCGTCAGTTGCTTTATTCCACGAATGCAGCATGCTGATCAGGGCCTGGGTGGTGTTACTACCAGGTATCGTCCCAAATTGATTTGGATCCACCTTCTTCAGAACTGCAGGCTTTACAAATTCTTCTACGACAAAGTCTTCCGCAACTTTCGAGAGGATAGATGTCAAAGATATAGGACGAAGATGGCTATTTACGTCAAGAATTTGCTTTTGTTTTGGGATTGGTGAAATATTGGCCAATTTCCACGATGATGGGAGTCGAGCTTCCAAAAAAAAACGGTTTAATATATTTGATACTGGCGCAGCAAATATGTCGGCATTATCTTTTAAGAGCCAACTCGGGATACCGTCGGGTCCGCTTGCTTTGGTTGGATTTAACGTAGACAGTTTCTTGTTAACAGAAAACTCGGACACTTGGAGGCAGCAGCATTCGAACACTGGGCTGTTTGGTACAAATTCTTCGGTTTGTAAAGGTGTAAAATGACTCATAGGGGCAAGGAATGCCTCATTGATAACATTGGCAAGGACAGTATTGCTGACAGTTCCCTCTCCTTGATCACAACCAATATGCTGTAGCGTAGAGACTAGGTCTGTCTGGGATGAGTTGACAGTTGTCATTCCACTTAACTTTTTCACTTCTTTCCACCACGATGCAGGTTTGCACTCCATCAAATGCTCGACTTTAGACTTGTAATACTTAGCACAGCATATTTTTCGCTCATGATTTACTCGATTTCTCAGTGTGCGAAATAGAACTTCGTCTCCCTGGTCTAAAGCTTTCTGGTGCTTGCGAATCAAACATTCGAGAGACTGATTGATCCAGGGTGGCTCGCTTGTTACAATGGTCTTAGACTTTAGAGGAAGTAACCTGTCCATCCCGGTATTAATGATTAATTCCAGGAGCTTTACTTTGTCTTCACACGACCTCTGACTGTTAATCAATGTTGAAATGTCAACTTCCTTTAGATACAAATGCATTGCAAGGCGCTTCGAAGGCCGAATGTCCCTTGACTTCACGGTGATCTTGGGTTTAGGTAGATTGGTTCGCTCTAGAGGTTTAACTTCAATAGAAGCATGGTCAGACAAACCAAACGGGGACATCTTAACTGGAGGGCTATAAAACCTCTTTAGATTGGTATAAATTTTGTCCAAAGTGTTACTACCACGCGTTGGAAAATTGACTATTTGTTTAAGTTTATAGAAGTTGCAGAGTCGCGAGCCGTTTAATTGATTGAAATCACCGAGGAGGATTATACCACAGCCTGGGAAACTAGCTTCAATAGAAGATAAACTATTGTACAAGTAATCTAGCATAAGGGAATCCATAGAGCTCGGCGGATGGTAAACGGTACCAATTACAATACTGGAGATGCCCCTTGGGAGTCGTTGAGGGCTTATTTGTGTCCATAAAACTTCAAAGTTAGGATGCATATATTCGTCTAGAACTTTGAATTTTATAGAATCCTTAACATACATGCAAACACCACCATGCAGACCCGCGACTCTATCACGCCGAATCACATTAAATCCAGAAATTGCGATGATGTTGTCAGCGATGTGTTCGCGAAGCCATGTCTCAGTTATGCATACGAAATCTAAGTATGCATGATTAATTACTTCACGGATTTCGTCGATTTTCGGAGCTAAGGACATGACATTTGATAGCATAAAAGATGGAACAAATACATAAGCAGATCCTGCAGGTTTCTGTTGAGGTTTTGTAGGAATATAAATACAGTTTGAAGGATTGTGATATGATAGAGGCTTCAACAAATTAAGGGAATGCAGCCGGTCATGGTTGGGCAATCGTGGCGAGATAACGTCAATACGACGCGGCTTTACAACAGACAAATATGGTCTTTCATTCGATTTAAAACCTTCTATATAATTCAAACATTTTCCTCCTCGCTTTCCCCGCAGCTTTCGGATTAAACCATTTGATTTCAAAGACTCCCAAGTGATGTTATTAAGTGGCTTCGACTCTGTAGGTTGCCTTCGAATGTGACACAATGTAGATTGAAGTTCAGGCAAACACGATTTCCACCAAAAACGAAGCGAAAATAAAAAGCTTCTTGAATACGTAACCTGCATTGTAGCAGCCGAACTCATAACGCCACAGTTTATAATAAGGTTCTGGTATAACAGTCCAAAAAGATCAAATTTTGGAGAGCAAATTTTAAGCAGCCGTACGGCGCTATATCAAGCAGTTTCATGACCAGTATCGTCGATCTTCACTTCTTCAACCTTTCTAGTAGCTCTCCAGGAATCAAAAATCTTCAAAGCCCACTTTGTCGCGTATCTTGTACTTGGCGGCGTTGCTCTTTTGAGCAACGTTTGCTCCTCTTCAGCACTTCGAGGCTTCGAAGCCGACTCATTAACGACACAAGTCAAACATTCAAATTTGCATTTGAAAACTCTGTTTAACGACTTGATAATTAATCCAGTCATTAATTTGCTTGCTGATCAATGAAGGGAAGAATCGTAAAACAATAGAACTATTGTAGTCAACATTCCTTATTATTTCATTGGGACCCAAAAACAAAAGGTGAATTTTAGAAGTCATATGCACCGATAAAGCCCTCTCACTCGGTTTATAAATAGTACATAAAGGCTAACAC